TTATGCTCCTTCTTACAGGAAAACAATATCCTTGAAGAATTTCAGTCAGGTTTTTAGCTTCGGACCAAGGCTGCATCTCAATATTAGTCTTACTTGATCTTAGTGCTGCATTCGACACTATAGACCATAACATTCTCGTAGATCGCTTAGAAAATCACATAGGTATTCAGGGACAGGCATTAAAATGGTTTAGATCCTACCTGTGTGATCGATACCATTTTGTAGATTTAAATGGAGAACTATCCAGTGTAATGCCAGTGAAATATGGGGTTCCACACGGGTCAGTTTTAGGACCTCTACTGTTCTCAATTTACATGCTTCCCTTGGGTAACAACATTAGAAGACATGGGATTAGTTTCCACTGTTATGCTGACGATACCCAGTTATACATCTCATCAAAACCAGATGAAATAAATAAATTTTCTAGATTAACTGAGTGTGTTAAAGATATAAAAAAATCCTGATAAGACAGAAATATTACGTATTGGTCCAAAAACCAGTACACAAAGCTCTCACAATTCAACTTGCATTTAGAAGGATGTACTATTACTACTAGCTCGACAGTGAAAGACCTGGGCGTAATATTAGACAGCAGCTTGTCTTTTGAAAATCATATTTCCAATATTACTAAAACAGCCTTCTTCCACCTTAGAAACATTGCCAAGCTTAGGAACATTTTATCTGTATATGATGCAGAAAAGCTAGTTCATGCATTCATGACCTCCAGACTGGACTATTGTAATGCATTGCTAGGTGGTTGTCCTGCGTCTTCAATAAACAAGCTACAGTTAGTCCAGAATGCAGCCGCCAGAGTTCTTACTAGGTCAAGAAAAGATGATCACATAACCCCAATACTATCATCCCTGCACTGGCTACCTGTTAAGTTTAGAATTGATTATAAACTAGCGCTACTTACGTACAAGGCTCTAAATGGTTTAGCTCCCACGTATCTAGCCAGGCTTCTAACACATCACAATCCACCTCGTGCCTTAAGATCTCAAAACTCCGGACTTCTGGTAGTTCCCAGAATATCAAAGTCTAGAAAAGGGGGTAGAGTGTTTTCGTCTTTAGCTCCTAAACTTTGGAATAGCCTTCCTGACAGTGTTTGGTAGGCTCAGACACAGTCTCCCAGTTCAAGCATAGATTAAAGACATATATCTTTAGCCAGGCATACACTTAATACATACATTTATTTAGTGCTTGCTAATATTATGAACAGCAGCTACACTAATTCCTTTCTACTTGTTTCCCTTCTTCTACCCATCCCGAGGCACACAGAGATTGTGCCAGCTCAAGTAGACAGAGGTCAACCCTACGAGGATCCTGAGGCATCCAGAGATGGACCAGCTCCAGCCGGTTTCTGCCTCGTGAGGATTTGGGCATTTAAAGCAATGCTGCCAACCCTATGTGGACTTTGAGGAAGATAACAACCTACAAATCAATATACACATAAAACGCTACATGAATATACATAAATGCAGAAAGGACATTGTTCTACCACAGTTTCCAGTGTCACCCAAATGACGATGGGTTCCCTTTTGAGTCTGGTTCCTCTCAAGGTTTCTTCTAATCATCTAAGGGAGTTTTTCCCTTGCCACAGTCGCCTCAGTCGTCTCAGGCTTGCTCACTAGGGATAGTTTTGTGTAACATCTAGGACTGTTGCATGTTTTGTTTGTTTGCATGTTTTTCTGTTTCTTATGTTCTGTAAAGCTGCTTTGAGACAATGTCCATTGTTAAAAGCGCTATACAAATAAAATTGAATTGAATTGAATTGAATTTTGAAGCATACGCCCTGCTCTCTGAGGAGGGCACTCTCTCCAGCGTTCCTCGCGGTTTGGGTCCCGCTTCTGCCGAGTCAGAGCAGCAAGTCAGATTGTGGATTTGGCAGAGGGAATGGAGATGGGCAGAGCCCTTTCTTCTTTCTCACCTGCCAGATCCAGTGCTCACTCTCTGGAAGCACATTCTGAAACGGTTTCTTCCCTCCCGGGAGAGGGCTCGACGCTTTACTTATCTTCCTGCGAGAAGGGAGGCGAGGGGAGCGCCGAAGAGGACAAGTCTGTGGACTTGCCACCACAGTCCATCCAGTTTGAGGAGCTATTGGAGGTGGTGACTCGAGCTGTGTCTAAATTAAATATTGACTGGCCAGTTGAAAAGCAGGAAGAACGTCCATGCAGCAAGTTAGATAAGCATTTCCTCAGATCTAAGTCACTGCTTCCACGCTGGGGCCTGCCTTTCTTTCCCGATCTGCACACCGAGGTGTCCAGATCGTGGAATAATCCATAGTGCAAGCACTGGACACATACGTCCACAGAGCTGCCCTCAGCAGGTGGATAGTGGATGCTATCACTACTTCTTATGAGTCCTCTGATCTCCCCTCTCCATTGGGAGTGAGGGCTCATTTACTCGAAGTATGGCGGCCTCCAAGGCCTTCTCCTCTGGTGTATCTCTCCAAGATATTTGCAATGCTGTATCCACTCCTCTGACCTTCGTCAGGTTTTACAGCCTTGACCTCGATGCCACTCCCGGGTCCTCAGTTCTCTCGACCTAGTTGTGCCCTTCCACACTAGACAGGGATTTGTCAGTCTGGTGGCGTTGGATACTCGTTCCCAAAGCATTGTTCGATGCTTCTCGAGTTCCTGAAGGGGAACATCCCTAGGTTACGTCTGTAACCATAGTTTCCCGAGGGAACGAGACGCTGCATCTTGGTGCCATACTTACTGCATCCCTGCGCTGGCGCTGAAGCTGGCGTTGTCTCCACCGCATGTGCTTTTATACTTCCTGGTCGCTACATCATCCTACTGGTGACGTCACACGATTCCGTTGAATGGATTACACATGTGATTCAGAGTATGGTCACGCAGAGGTGTTCCCAAAGCATTTTTCAACGCAGCGTCTCGTTCCCTCGGGGAACTATGGTTACAAATGTAACCTAGGGACGTTCTTCTGTTAGCTGTGTGTTGCTATGTTGTCTTGTGATACAAAGCTGTCATGTTTAAGTATAACAATTGGATTATTATTATCTTCATGCATGGATCACGTTGTTTTTAGACTGCGTCTCAATTTTTTCCACCCAATTCCATGGCTCCGCCTCCTCTGCTGATTCCGTGTGGTATTCAAACTTTGCCTTCTCCGCTGGTTCTGCCTTCTCTGCACTTTCCTTCCTGTGACGGCCTGAAGCAAGCTCTATCTGTAAATCCATTTTTTGCTGATTTTGATGAATCTTTGAAAAGACTCCTCTCAGTCCAGAGCATGGGTGCCGCTAGGCCATTTTTAGGGGGGCTTTAGCCCCCCTAACATTTCTACTCAGAACCTCCCTAAAAATTTTGCGATTAGCTCCATAAACTGTACATGAATTCGTGATCACCTCAGTCCCCTTTAAATTTCATATTAAAATGGCAGCAGACTTCAATTGGCTCCTCCCCCTCTTTCAGTGCACTGCAGCACCTGGGTTTAGCAGAGGGTGGAAGAGAGCACTGGTCATTCACTCCTGCCAGCTACAATCCCTGCTAGACCTGAGACTCAAACCCATGACCTTCGGGTTACAAGGCCAACACTCTAACCATTAGACCACAACTGCTAGTTAGTTATTATGAGGAAAACAGGCAGAGACAATGGTAGCTTTAGCAACATTAGCCTTACAACTAGCAGAAGAGGGGGTTGCTATACTTATTAATAAGAACATCCCTTTTAATGCTTTAAAGACTGAAAAAGTCAGATTTGGTAGATATGTTTATCTTAATGGGGTCCTTTATGGGGAAGAGATTTCACTACTAAATGAATATTTTCCACCTAATTTCTCCCCCGAATTTCTCACATCAACCCTTTCTAAATTTTCTGTATATTCCTCAGAAACACTTATAATTGGGGGGATTTTAACTGTCTGATGGACCCTTTGATGGACAAATGACCTATTAGAAATCCCACTCATACAAAGCAGTCAAAGGCACTAATAGCCATCTGTGAGGAATTGGATTATTTGGATGCTTGGTGAACTTTAAACCCCACACAATGTGACTTTACCTTTTATTCTGTCCCACACAAATGTCACACAAGAACTGACTATTTTCTAATTAATAAGTTGCTTTTGCAATCAGTGTCTTGTTGCATTTTGGGTAACATCTTGGTGTCAACAAACAACAAACAAACAAAAAGGTGGCGATTTAACACTAGCTTACATAAGGATGCAGCTTTTCTTTCCTTTTTTCATACAGAACTTAAAATATTTCTTTCAATCAACTCTACTTGAACAGTTAACCCCTCTTTAGTACGGGAAACCTGCAAAGCATATATCATAGGGCTGACTATTTCGTACTCATCTAGTAGGAGACAGAGACATTTGGTAAGACACAAACTTCTTGAAACTGAACTGGATAACGCTAAAAAGGAATTTAGTGTAACATCAGATTCTACAATACTTGAAAGAATATACAATATAAGTACTTCACATCTGAAGATGAACACATCTGGTAAACAACATTTTGATAACCCTTCAAAAATCTTATTCTGATTTATATGAATCTGAGCAATGTGTTGACAGTGCAGAACAAAGGTGCTCATTTTTTAATGGTTTACCCTTTAAAACTCTTCCACAAGCTTATAAGGAACTTCTTGATGCCCCAATTAGTAAAGAAGAGGCCATGCAAGCTCTTCAGTGTCTCCAGGCTGGTAAAGCATCAGGTCCGGAAGGCATAAGTTCTGAACTTTGAAGGAATTTCATTTTGTCCTACTGGACCCCCTTCTTGAAATGTTAAACCATTCTTTTGGAATAGGATTATCACCTGCTATGCTTAGAGAGGCTGATATTTCATTGATTTAAAAAAGGGAAGGATCCAGAGGACTGTGCATCTTACAGGCCAATAGCACTGCTCAATTCTGATTCTGAACTGTTATCCAAAATACTTGCACGTAGATTAGAGCAAGTATTGCCAATCTTAGTCTGTGAGGATCAGACTGGTTTTATTAAAGGAAGGAGTGCTAGTCATAATGTCAGGAGACTCTTAAATGTTATAAATATCTCACAGAAACAAAAACTTGACACTTTAGTTATTTCTTTAGACGCCGAAAAGGCATTTGATCGTGTCGAGTGGCCCTATTTATTTTATACTTTACAGAAATTTGGGTTTGTGGACAAGTTTTTGAGGTGGGTGCAGCTGCTCTACAATAAACCGCCTTCTGCCGTCACCACTAATGGCCTCAGATCTAAAAATTTTCTTCCGGGTAGGGGCACAAGGCAGGGTTGCCACTGTTGTTTTCCCTTGCCATTGAGCCCTTGGCAGAATTGATAAGATGTGATTCAATGATTAGAGGGGTCACAATAAATAGCAGACAGCACAAGATCTCACTCTACGCAGATGACTTTCTACTTTTTTTTTTGTCTGATGCAAATACATCAGTTCCACGGCTGGTAGACGTTCTAAACTCCTTTGGGCAATTTTCTGGTTATAAGATAAATTTTACAAAATCTGTTGCCTTACCATTGGGCAATCTCACCTCAGAAATACAAATGCTCTCCTCTTTCCCTTTTAAATATACCATATCAGGTTTTACCTATCTACCTATCATATAACCCCTTCCTTCCAACTTTTATTTAAAAACAACTTTGCTCCTCTTTTGGAGAAAATTCATAGTGATCTACAGAGATGCAATTCTCTTCCACAACAGCTATAATCAAAATGAACGTTTTTTGTATCCTTTGATGATGCTGTCTATTTTACTTTCTAGCAAAGTTATTATGGAGCTTAATGGCTGGCTATCTTGTTTTATATGGAGTAAAAGGAAACCAAAATTGAAAATGAACAAATTACAGCTTCCTATTTGTAAGGGTGGTTTAGATGTCACCAATATCAGATGGTATCAGCTGGCGTGTCAGCTTCATTTTGTGGCGGACTGGTTAAAGAATGATCCATGTTCAATTTGGCTTGATGTTGAAGCCTCACAATCTTTGTGCCCTCTTCAAAATCTCTTGTTTGTTAGCAATCCTAAAAAGTTAAAAGCTCTATATGACAGCCCGATCATACAGAACACTCTTAAGGTCTGGGTGCAGTCTCGCAAGCTAGAGGGTAGGTTTCATCTTACTTCAGCTCTTACACCAATACAAAATAATCCTGATTTTCCTCCTGGTTCTGACGATTCTGGGTTTATTCTCTTGAGCTCTTTAGGTATTGTGAGGCTGAAAGACATATTTGAGGATTCCACACTTCTGTCTTTTGAACAGTTATCGGCAAAATGTAACCTTTCAAGACATAATTTCTTCAAGTATTTGTAGCTAAGGGATTTTATTGGCAAAACAACATTGTATAATGATAATTGTATATCTAAAGTTGAGGAAATATTGTTAGAGGTTGCAAGGCAAAAAAAAAAAAAAAAAAAACGTTGAGTTTGACCTCCCCAGGAGACAGAAAATCTTTGACAGTTATGGGAAAGTGACTTTACAATGAATATCTCTAGCGAAGATTGGGATTCAGTTTGGGATTATGCTAAGAGAATATCAGTGTGTAACAGAGCATGTACTATTCAATTCAAAATAATACGCGATTACATATCAGAAATAAGATGAATCCAAAATTTTCCCCTTACTGCTCTAAATGCAAAACATTAGTTGGTATTATATTCATTGTATCTGGTCTTGTCACAAAATTCAGTTATACTGGAAGAAAATTGCAGATCACATTGGCAATATCTTGGGAATGCATATAGATGTTGATCCCTGTTCATTTATTCTAGGTATGCCTGCTGGTGGAATAAACTTCATAAAAGACTTTTCAGTATCTTAACTTTTGCTGCAAGAAAGAACATTCTGATATATTTGATAAATGAGAAAACTCCCTCAATCAAAAGATGGCATAATCTTGTAAAAGAATTTTGGAATTTTTGACATGTTTATTGCATTCGACCACTGAAGTATTTCATTGGATATGGACACCCTATTTGGACTGCTTCTCTCACCTTGGACGATTGCTTACATTTCCTTTGAAAATTGTTTAAAACAAGAAGTCTATGTCTGTGAATCTCTGTATATTTTTCCCCTGTATGTTAGGTCTGCCTGAGCTGCCTTTTTTTTTTTTTTTTTTTTTTTTTTTGATTTCCTGTTTGTTCTGTTGGAATGTTTATCAAAAAAATGTAATGTTTCTGCTGTTCAGACTATTTATTTTAAAATGCAAAACATCTGTTTAAGGACCACAATGGGAGTGGCCCAAATCAGAGCTGAAAAGATCAGATTGCATCTACATTACATTTAGTCATTTAGCAGACGCTTTTATCCAAAGCGACTTACAAATGAGGACAATGGAAGCAATCAAAATCAACAAAAGAGCAATGATATGCAAGTGCTATGACAAGTCTCAGTTAGCCTAACTAATAATGCATACATGTTAGCCATCCATAGCAGTGACTGTTTAGATTGAAGTGTTATAGGGGGAAAGACTCTTTTTGAATAAACATTTAAATCAGAGGGCCAACCGGACAGCTCTGATAGCTGACATTGATGGTTATGATGAATTAGGCCTCATACCTTCAGCAAAACAGCTTCAGAGGATCCGAACAGCAGTTGTGTTTCAATAGCTTGATCTCTGATCAGACGCTCCAGCTTTGGGAATCCTCCCAGACTCAGGAAAGTCAGATGATAAAGGAGAGCCGTTCGCTCCGCAGATGGAAGAAGCTGCTGAATGAAATCTGCTCTCACTATAGAGTTGTCGTCGACAAACTCTGAAATATTTCAAACATTTGTGATGGTTAACAACCTTTGGCATTCAATTGCTAATGGATGAAAAAGGACACTGTACAAATAAAAGGCTATTTTGGTGTGAACTTGGTTTAATTGAATCAATGCACTCTAAAAAATGCAGAGTTGTTTTCAATCCATGGCTGGGTAACAGCAACCCAGCATAGGTTACATTTATAATCCGACGTGTGTTTTGTCCAATATTTACCCAGGCATTGGTTGAAAACAACCCAGAAAGTTTTTTTTTTTTTTTTAGTGTAAGGAGACAAAATATGCACTACTAGGGGGTCCCTGCAGAACTGGGACAAGAACCACTGTCATAACATTTTAAAGGGAACTCACCCTATTTCCAAGGCCCTGTTTACACCTGTTATTAAGATGCATTTTGGTCAATCGGATCACAAGTGGACGAAGGACAGAGTTCCGGACGCCGTCATTCAGGTAGACGGGCTAGCCTCGTTTCGTGCTGACAGAAACACAGCTCTGTGCAGTAAGGCTCGCGCCGGTGGCTTGTGTGTTTACATCAACACGGAATGGTGCACGGAATGGTGTTTCTAGTTTCCGCTCATCGCTGGTGGAGTCTGTGACTGTTAGATGTAGACCTTTTATTTACCACAGGAATTTACCACTGTTCTCATAATCGGTGTATGCATTCCCCCCAGTGCTAATGCTAAGGAGGCGCTCTGTGTACTGTATGGGACTATTATCGAGCTGCAGAATTCAAACCCTGACGGACTGTTTATTGTTGCCGGAGATTTCAACCATGCAAATCTCAAGTCAGTGCTCCCTAAATTCCATCAGCATGTGGACTTTGCAACAAGAGGGAAGAACGTGCTGGACCTTGTTTACACAAACAT